AAAAAAAAATGTTAGATTGGCCTGATCCAGGACAATGTGAGTGCATGCACATAGGATCAGGATGGGGGGACAATACAAATATTGAATGAGCAATTGAGCAGAATCAGACATGTGGGACTTAGTATAATCCGAAAAAAGACCAAGAAACAAAAAAATTTAGAAGCTTGTTTTTCTGTTACTGATGTGTAATGTGTTTTGAGAAGGAAACATTTTGATCGGATCTAAATCTCTGTGTAAGCCTGTCCGGGAGAAGTGGAAAACAAATACCCTTCTGTTTCTTCAGACTCTGCCGGCCAGCCTCACTGTAGAAATCCTGCAATGGCAGTAAAGAATTCTTTTAGCATCTTAATTTAAATGCCGATCCATTTTTATTTAAATTGCAACTTGTTCATCATTCATTAAGATCACTTTGATAATATCATTGTTTAATAGGTAACGTTACAAGAAGGTAAAGGCTGAAGGGTTCAAATTTCCGGCCAGTTTCTTCCCTTTTTCTTCCTTAATTTCTCATTCACCGGGAATTGGTTGGGAGATTCCAAATATACCACAACGATCTGCTCGACGAGTAGAACAAGTTAGTTTATTTATTTTCATAATTTGACTATTGGATCACGTCCGAATATTGGTCGAAGCTGACACGTAAGTCACTTTTCATGATTTTATACTTAACCAATTCCAACATAAAATGTTGAACTCAAAACAAAATTTTAGCATGAACCAGCCGAATTTTGTTGCAAGTCGGCTATTTTTGGGATCAATCGGGTCTGTTTGGGGGTTGTAAGCACAATTCTCAATCTTAGAATGATCCCTAATAAGGGTCCAGTGGGTGCAATTTCATGCACTGAACCCTTAATTTTTGACATTGAAAAAATGTCCACATAATTTTAGTTCATAATTTTTAACCCAAACCCAACAAGTATAATTTGAAATTATTTTTTACGTAATTTTGTCTCGCTCCCGTTAAACCATAATCCTAGGTTGACCACTGCCTAAAAGCCATGTAAACTCTAGCATTAATTCAATTAATGAGTCCCTAAACAGGTGCCCCCAAACACCAGAAACAACCTTGTATTAGCACATAGTTCTTGTAATTTGATTGTTTATATTACTTCCAGATCTAACATGGGATTGCTTGGTCGTACTTAATGAACCTTATTGGAGCTAATTAATCATTAAACATTTCTGTTTTGTCTAATTGTACATTTTCAAGTGTCCCTCTGAAATGTAGCATCACAGCTCAGAGTCAGATTTTTCAGATTAAAATAAATATTTACACTAAACAATAATTAATGAAATCTCCTGGAAGCTTGCTTTACAAACCTCCATGTAAGTCATGTTGTTGTACTTTAATAAGAGCAAAGTAATTACGCACCGATTGATTTACATTGTTTCAAAATCTTTTTTTCTTTTTACACTTTCATTTTTAACCACGCGTTTATACAATAAAATATTCTACATATAAATTCAAAATTTTTCCTTACTTTTTAACCACACATTCTTCTAAAAAATACTATTCCATACTCTTTAAAATGGAAATAAAGGCCACCAAACAAGGGCTACATCCTAATTATACATTCTTTGATGTACACTCTTTTTTACATCACCCATGGTTTTGACGCCGGACAGAATAGTGACTATTCTGCAAGTTGGAATCAATTGACAAATACAGAGAAGAACGCGAGAGAAACATCAAGAGAAACGATAAAATTTTTTATTATTCAACAACTGAACGAAAATAAATCACAAACAGGGTTAAATAGTTAAAAAATAATAATTATCAAAATTTTACCAAAAATAGCAAAANAAAAAATAACTTAAATTGATTATTCTGACGGGAAAACAGCTAAATTTAGGCTCAATACCGATATACATCGACCATAGCTGGTGCCCACGATGTACGCGTCGGAAAGAGCTTTCCGAATTGGGGTCATGGGCGTGATTCTGACAATCGTAGCCAAAGTTATGGTCAAAATACCGAAACGTGTCCAAAAGCGACCCCAATTAGGAAACATTGATGATTACTTGCAATTCTTGCTCTGATCCGCCAACTCATGATATCTCAGCGCCATTAACGAACTATCAGACAGCTCGACCTCGTCAAACTCGGATCCCCCAGCATCAGGTTTCAAAAAATTGTAGGCGGAAAAAGTTTTTAATTTTTAAACTGTCCAATGATTTGCTGTCATGTAACACAATACGAACAATGACGTAAAAGATGATATACATGTAATATGATTGAAGTAATTAACTTCACTCATTGACAAAGGGTAAGTGACTTTAGAGCACAGTTGGTACTTTCAACTCGATAGGTTAAAGAAAGAGTATCTCGTCTTTAACTATGTCTAGTAAGCCATACCAAACATGCAATGATTGGTTTTTAAGAAAATTTAACTCTCCACAAACTAGTTCATGGTCATCTTTCTTGCATTTCTTGTCTACAAAACTAGTGGAGTTATAATTAAGTGCCGGATGATTGCTCCATTGTAGGTACTCCATGTTTAAGTTGTGAATCGAAGTTGAAAAACGTATGGATTGTGAGAAGTTCTATGTTAGTTGAATGCCTGTAACTATATCATTTACCCCTCTATAGATAACTAATCGGCCATCCACTCTTCGAGTTAGTGGCTATGCATTTACATGAGTTGCCTTTGACACAAGGTCTTTGTCACTCCATTTGTAGGAGGCCACGTTATGGTGGTTGCACAACCGAGAAGTTTCCAACTCAAAAAAATTTTGTATGGGAGGAATGTTATTTAGGCCTAATGTAACATAGACCATTTGTATAGGAATAATGTCATTTAGACCTAATGTAACATAGACCAGTACTTAATACCACTATGAATATTTAACATTAATTTTGCATGGTGACGAAACGCGTAATTGATCTCACTAGGGTGTAAAATCACATTAATTTGACCAAGCCCTTGTATTTTCATCGTGCCAACTGGATTTTGATCTTGACAAGCTCATGTTAACTAGATCTTCGACTCTACCTCCACTAATTTTCAAAAAAATAGACATAATTTGATATTTATTGATGGAATTATTGAAGTTTACCCCTAAAAGCTCCCTTCTTGATTTAAAGAAAATCTCCGTTAGGCAAAATTTATAAATTATTTAGAAATGATCACACTTCATTTTCAATCACACATTTCAATAGATTCACAAGTAATATTCAACTTTTCCACCATCATTTCTGTCTATTTATAAATTAGAACGTTTGTAAATTCTTCTCAAACGGAGGTTAAGATGTTACACCACAATGAGGGTTACAATAGGCAACTTGCAACATGTGGTTTCCTAAACATACACAGTACTTGAAAATATTAACAAAGGGATTTCCATGTTGGTTTGTATTTACAATATTATTCATTTCAAGATTGCTTTCAAGCAAATTTTTAAGTTTAGCCAGTTGTATAGACACAGTCCCACGTGCAACTACCACGTTCCATTCCTTTCTCTATATATATACAGCATATCCCTATACAAGCCATATCACATTCATACACAAAATTGAAAATTAGTCCCTTACTTCTCTCAAGATTTAACAGAAAATCAAGAGGGAAACAAATACAGAAAAATGGCTTGCTGGTCAGCTGAAAATGCCACCAAGGCCTATCTGAGAACCATGAGAATGGTGAGTTTCAAGAATCCATTCAATAAAACTATCTCGTCTGAAAGTTTAAGTTGTTAGACTCCTAATTAGAGTTGACTCTCTTGTGATATTTGAACTCACTTGATTTGATATTTCTTGCAGGGAGAAAAGGCTAAAGAGCCTAATGGAGTTGAGTTCATTTCGGCACTTGCTGCAGGCAACAACGCAAAAATCATGGTCGTTGCATGCGCTGGTGCTGCCGACTCAACCACGCTAGCCTTGGTTGCAGCAGCCCAGCAAACCGGGGGGCACGTTATCTGCATTCTTAGCAGCATACAGGACCACTATCTGTCCGGGATGACTCAGGGCGTAAATGCAGGTCGCGTCAAATTTGTAACTGGAGATGTTAAGAATCTGCTGATGAATGATTACAAAGAAGCAGATTTTGTTGCTGTTGATTGCAATCTAGAAAATTACGAGGCGATTATCAGCTCGATTCAAGAAAGCCCGAGATGTAACAATACAATTGTTGTAGGCTACAATGCATTTTGCAAAGAGTCATGGAGGAATAGCCCTTTGTGTAGTGAATTGCTCCCAATAGGAGAGGGCTTGCTATTAATAAGAATAGCAGCTAAAAAGAATACTAATGGTTCTGGTTTGAAAAAGAGAGGGAATTGGATTGTTAAGGTGGACAAATGCACAGGTGAAGAGCATGTATTCAGGGTCAGATCTTCTGCTGGGAAAGTCATTAGAGCTTAAACTGGGATTAAGCTCTTCATCGATCGATTTGCAGTCGAGGGGATAAAGTCTCGATTTTCCATAGGTCTATTAAGTGTAAATATGCAATCTACAATATACAATTTCCATTTTATGCAAGGATAATTACCTAGTACATAAATCACGTTTCGGTGATTTTCTGTCATGGTTAAATACATATTATAAGTTATTGGCATAATTAGAATATGATCCACTTGTTTTGATGACAATTTCTGGAAATAGCAGTTTCCCCTCTCAAATTCATAAATAAATCCTTATATCAAAATGTGTTTCAAAACTTGCGCGAGATCAACGAGTTATGTCTTTTTACCGAAACTCGGAACATTGATGCTAGAGAAAACATGGATGGTGACCTTGATGCAGAGGTAAGACCATTAATCCACCATAATACCATCTATTCGGTGCAACCCATAATACCCATTATAGTTTTATACTAAATTCTTTATGCGACCTAATCTGGTATGGCAAACATAACCGAAATAAGGAAACCATAGATGTAATTTGGAGGTGAACACGACTCGATTTGTGCAGTTTTTTACTTACTATCAAACCACACCATTTAAAAAGGTTTGGGAAAATTTCAAATCAGATCATTTTTGTGGTTCAGTTTCATTTCAAACCACAATTTGCTGAGCGACATAAAAGTAATGTAGTTAAATGTAATTTCTTTTTTTAAAAAAATTATAAACAGTCCCATTCGATTTTAAATGGAGTTTAAGTATCAAAACCTAAACTAAGCAATTGACACAAGACAACGGTGTCAAACTAATGATTCAATTCGATTTTACAATTTGGCGGTTTCTTTGTTCAACCCTAATAAGGGGTGAACATGATTCTATTTTTGAACTATTTTAAAAAAAAAACCCCATTTAAAATGGTTTGAGAAAATTTCAAAACCAAATCAAATCATTTCATTTTTTAAATCAAACCATTATTTGCTGTTTCATTTGATTTCAAACCACGATTTTAGCAACAAAAAAATAACATCTTTCAAACGAATAAAATT